AAAAAAAAAAGTACAGACAAGAACAGTTTAAGTACTGGGGGCAAAAAAAAAAGTTTAAGTATTGCCCAAAAGTTCTATTTAAACATTTAATTGTGCTGGCTGTATAAGTAAAACACACTTTTATATATATACATATTAGGAAAAAATTATAAGACATTCCCCTTTTCAGATTACCCGTAAAGAACAACTATTAACAATTCGGTGTATTCTGTCTAAAGATTTATGGTTAAGTGTTAATATCTTTAGAAGTATGCTTTATCAAGTTAAGAAAATCCCTATCTCTAATTTGTTAACATGAAAAAATATGGAATTTTATAAATATCTCTTTCTAGAGGGCACGTGGGTGGCTTAGCTGGTTAAGCATCCAACACTTGGTTTCAGCTCAGGTCAAGATCTCAGGGTCCTGAGATTCGAGCCTAGCATTGGGCTCCGTGTTCACTGCAGTCTGCTGGAGATTCTCTCCGGCTGCCTCTGTTCCTCCCCCTACATCGCCCATGTACGAGCTTTCCATCTCTCTCAAATAAACAAATACAATCTTTAAAAAAAAAAAAAATGCTTGGGACGCCTGCATGGCTCAGCAGTTGAGCATCTGCCTTCAGCTCAGGGTGTGATCCTGGGGTCCTGGGATCAAGTCCCGCATCGGGCTCCCCACAGGGAGCCTGCTTCTCCCTGTGTCTCTGCCTCTCTCTGTGTCTCTCATGAATAAATAAATAAACCTTTAAAAAAACAATTCTTTCTAGATCCATCAAGATGATCAGAGTTGTTCTTAAGTAGGACTATGGGGTATCTCATATTAATATTTTTCCTGTAATTAAATCATACTTGCATTCCTGCAATAAACCTTTCCTAATCATGATTTTGTCACTTTAATAACTCAAGTTACTGATATTTACTTATAATTTTTGCAACTGGTGTTATAAGTAACACCAGTATAAACTTTTACTATTCGTGTTCAGTTCTGGTGTAAGAGGAGTTGGTTACTTTCCTCTATTACTAGAGTTAAGAAAACTAAGAGTCAGGACTGGGATTTTTCTATTTCTTTGCTATTACAAACAAAACTGAAATAAAGACCAGCAATCTTTGACCATATTCCTAATAGTTTCCTTAGGATGAAACATCAAAAATGTGATTTTAAGGTGAAAGCTTTACCAGAGGAAAGGCCTTATAATTTATGTTTATGAAAATGAACTCATTTCTACACATTTATATATAATGGGCACTATAAAATTGCCATATTAGACCTCACAGCCCCTTACTTTTAACTTTAGAGTCTCCAACCCTACAGCAGTTTAGATTTTGCTTTACCGTAGCTAATATGCATTGAAAGCCTTTTATCTTCTTCTGATCAATTCATTATCCAAATATCAAATTGCATTCTCATTTTACGACTGAGCTATCTTTCATTCCTTAGTATCAAAAATGGTTGAGATATAAAAGCCTCATGAAACTTTATTAATACTATTCAGCTCATTGCAGCTTGACAGGTTAAATTCTACCAATGAATCACTTCATGTCACCACATTCAACAACGGAGAAAAAGTAGTGACATGTGTACCTACAGCTTCTATCTCTTCAGAGACAAAGCTATGAAGGCTGAGTAATTATATGAAGGGTGGAAGGGACATGGAGCCGGGACTCTTTCTGCCCCCAATTTAGTCCCACTCTAAGAATAAAAGAAAGAAGGTCGAGGAGGAAGAAACTGTTAATAATACAACAGATGTTTTAACAGAAAATATTTGCCATTTTTAAAAATTAAGTAATTTACATGTCATGTTCTTCATTGGATGAACTTATTTGTATTTTTAGGTTTGTAAAACCTAAGACTTTTTATTAACAAATTCCTTGCAATTTTAAGTACATAAACTTATACAATAAATCCATTTTGTATCATACATTAAATAATTTTGCCTAAACTACCATTTGAATTTATCCATAATGGACCTTTCCCGCCCCCATTCCTAAACCATTATAGCAGACATAATTAGTTGATTGAATGTTTAAGAACATTCAATTGAATGTTTAAGAAATAACTAATAATCGACACATTAACTCTTCTACTACTAAAAACAAAGCAAACTCTAGAAAATATATGGGGCCAAACTATAGTGGAAAAAGAAGCTTAAACTCCTTGACAGACAACAACCAACATTAACAAATCTATATTTCTTAGCCAAAAAACCTCACCAAATTAGACAAGCCAAGTTTCTAAGCTTCAAAGAACTTCTAACAGTTAAAAAAATATAATGGTCTATCACCACCACACTTTCACAGCAGAAAGAAGTTTAAAAAAAAAAATTTAATGATCAAAAAGCCCTAGTATATGGAAAAAAATTTTTTAAATAGGCCATAAAAAGGATAGGAAAAAAATGTTGGCCAAAGTGACCTGCACACATTTTAATCATCAGGTTGCTACCTACTGTAGTACTGTCTCTCTAAAGGAAGCAATGGGATGCCCGGCTGGCTCAGTGGTGAAGCGTCTGCCTTCGGCTCAGGGCATGACCCCAGGGTCCTGGAATCGAGTCCCACATCGGGCTCCCCGCAGGCAGCCTGCTTCTCCCTCTGCCTGTGTTCTGCCTCTCTCTGTGTCTCTCATGAATAAATAAATAAAAATAAAATCTTAAAAAAAAGGGGGGGGCTCACACAGCTCCCCTTTCAGCTCTGCTCTGCAATGTAATAAGCCTTAGAGGAAGCTCTGTGAGCCCCGCGGCTCCCTGTCCCCTGGCTCCCGAAGCTCTGGGAGGAGGAAGAGCACCTACTAACCAGTCTTCTTGCCTCCACTCTGGACAGTCTCCTAATCATTCTCACTGCAGCCAGACGCTGTGCTGAGACTGTTCAGGGACTCCACCCTCACCCATGCTCAGGTTCAAGCACATGTTGTGGCTCCTTACTATCTGCACAGCCTCAGCCAGCCTCTGTTTTACAGCCTCCCTGGACACTAGTCGACTCAGAACCCTTCACTAGCACTCCCAACACTGCAGGGCTGCTCAGAAGGATCTGGCCTCTCCTGACTTAAATCCCTCCTCTATACTCATCAAGATTCAGCTCTGGTACCAATCCTTTTCTGGAAGGAAACTTTTCACAAGTTGCAGGGTAGGCAAGATTCTCCTCTGCACATAACTCCCTGAGCTCCCTTAACACCTCTGGCACTTCAGAAATCTTATTTTGTAAAGTTTATCTCCCTTGCTAGAAAGCAACTTCAGAACAAAGACTGTATTTTAACTCCAGTGAGGAAGAGTGTATCATACGTGTAGTGGGTGTTTAATAAACGTTTACCGAACTGAAATACCAGGCACTATATAATGAAAACTAAGCAAATGTAGCTTGACTTATTCTTATCCAATTTGTTACCAAGCCCTTTCAGTTCCACTCACTCCACCCAAGTGTGTCCACTTCGTGTATTAGCACAGCCACCGTGCCAGGCCAGCCTCCTGCATCTCTCATTTAGACTACCCTACGAGCTTCCCAATCTCCCTCCTTCCAGACACACAATCCAGTCTCTCTCTCTCTCTCTCTCTCTCTCTCTCTCTCTCACACACACACACACACATATCCCACTACTTAAATAAAAATATGTTTAAAAATTCTTGTTTTCTATTATATTTAGACTAAAACTCAAACCCCCACTGTGCCTTACACAATGCTGTATTATCTGATTCCTTCCAAGTTTTATATTCAGTTTGTATTCCTTCATCTCTACTGAGTGCCTTTTAAAATCCTCCAAAAGAAGAAGCTGTTTCTCACCTGTCTTTACACTGGCTCCTTCCTCTCCTAGAAGACTCTTCCTTCAGCTAGCTGCTATTTCTCAAAGCTCAGTGTAAGTGCCACAATCCAATCCAAAGCAGCTTTTTTATCTCTCAGGCATGGTCTTCTTTGCACTCATTACTATATCAAATTATGTCAATTTGTTCACTTGCTTACTGTGCATCAGAAAAGGAGGAACTTTGTTTTGATCAGATTGTATCCTCAAGAGCCTAGAAAGAGTTCCCTGGATTCAGCAGGCCCTCATAAACATTTGGAAAACAAAAGCATAAGCCAAAGAAGTCAATCTTGTTTAAGACGTAAGTGAATCAAGTAAAAGAAACAGATTATTAATCTACCAAATAAGGCAGGAAACATTCTACTGAGTGTTTGCAAGGAGATAGGCTGGTGTTCCCGGGATCTATTATCAACAAGCCATCTAGACTGTATTCCCCAAAGCACACTGGAAACTCATCAATCAAGTAGCATGATTTCATGTGTTATATGCTAGCACACGAATCTGACACAGTCAGAGGTCATTTCAGAAAATGCTATATGCTGCCACTCCCCCCAAACCCCAGAAGGTCTACAAGTAGTAGTGAAACACTTAAAAACCACTTGCTACTTTGTTAAGGAAACAGCATTTCTGACAGTGGTACTTATCTGCAAATAATTAAATTTACACTAATAAAACAGGCCCTTCCAAGACAAAAGGTAGGTAGGTCTTTAAGCCAGGTTCGGACTCCCTGGACATCTACAAAGCTGCCCCCGAGACTGTTTTTTCTAAGGAGTCATGTTGCAACTCAAGACAAAAATTACATAAATAAAATTCATTTGTGTTAGCTGCCTGTTAACTCTTTATTGGCCAGACTTTTGACCAAGGCGGGAGAGAACTGTCAGCCCTTATCAGAGGAAAAGCTTTGACTCTTTATTCAAATGTTGTTCAGTCACAGAAATTAGGATCAGCTACAGTGAAGCATTTCGGCAATGAAGGTAAATGAACGCGGTGAAGATAATACAACTAAGTATTTTATTTTGCTTGATTAAACCTCATTGTTTGAGAGAAAATGACTTATAAAACAAACAAGCCTGAACTAGGCAAGCAAAATTGAAACGCCAGGTTAAAGAGAGCTATTCTGTTTTAATAATGACTATGTACAGGTAACGTGACAATAACAAAATTTCAGTCACATTCCCTTTGGCTTCCTTTAAGCAATTTTCAACAGTAGGACCATCAGGAGTTCTGCTCTAGTGACACTTACCTTGGTATGGTGACACATTTAGTATTACAATTTTGAGTGGTGATGGCTTTCTCAAGCTCATCTAATCGTCCTGTTTTCTTTAGCTTCTTCACCAAACTTTTAACCGCTTTCTCACACCACTTTTCTTCTTGTCCGTTCTGCTCTCCGCCGCCTGCTCCTCCAGACCCACCAGCTGATTTCTTCCATCCCAGCAGCCTCTTCACAACAGGCGGAGTGAACGGCAGGATAGATGACATGCTCTTGCCAGGGGCCACGACCCGCAATGAGAGGCCGCGCTGCTACCTGACCTGGAAAAGACAGGAGGGACATGAGGCTCACTCGCAGACCCAGGCATACCTTCAACGTCGTATCTGAAACACATGTGAAGATGAGACAGAAATTCACATCATCCCAGCAGACTTCCAGAGGTCATCTCCTCCCCCGACCATGCCTTTACTACTTTAAAGGAACTGTGGAAACAAATTCTAAAAAACAGAAAACTGTGGCATGAGTGGAAAAAGGTAATAATTTTGCAAGTAAAATCTTTACTGGCACTGGGCAAACTTATCACCACCAACACAATTTCATTTCTAACTTTTACTAGTGTCAACAATTAAAACATTTTCACCAAATAATGAAAACCAATTTGCCAATAATTAAAACTTTCACTAGAAAGTTCTTCTAGCTTTTTAGGACTTCAGTCTAGTCTCCAAACACCTAGCAAAAATATTTTTAAAATGCATTAAGTCCATTCTCCCTTAAGTTTTAAATTTTCGTAAATAAGAATCATAAAGTAAAATCTAAACTCGTAAAAAGGGAAGAGGCATCACATGTGAAATAAACAGCAAGAATTTTAAAAAACAAAGGCAAATAGAGTCTGTGAAGAAAAGGTTTGGTTCACTTTTCCAATCCCTTGAGAAGACTTTATTAGGCCTCTTTTCAAGAATATTTTTTCATTTTTCTCTAAGTAACATAACAAACAATATGCGTCATAACTAAAGTCATAACTATTTCCTCTTTGCACAATGAGGTACAATTCCTCAAAATCTTTTAACTGTGATTCTTGCTATTTATCCTCTAAGTAAGAGGCTCATGATGGTATCCCTTAAAATATTAAGTTGAGATATTATCTACTGATTTCAGAAAATGAGGATTTACACTCAACCACTCACTTTCCTCCAATCTTCATAATTATCTCCCAGAAGTAGTTCTGTGTCTGATGAGGTCAGTAGTAAACTACTATATAATGTTCCCCTTTTTGTACAACTCTTTCTTTTCCCCCAGTTAATGATCTCAGTTTGTCATATGCTTAGTTTTCTGTGCATCTACCATAAATTCTCCACACCACTCTTCACAAGCCCCATAATTAAATTTTAACGTGGATGACTTTAATCTCAAAATAAAGAGACAAGATCAGTTACCACTTGAGGACAGAACTGGAGAGTGGAGACTTGAGAAGAATGAAGATTTAGAAATGTAGCTCTAAGATCTACAGAAAATAGCTAGAATGAAGCAGCAAACATGATCGTGTATTTCCAGGTTACACGGGAGGAGCCCCACTTCTAATCAGGGATGTAGAAATGACGACAGATCCTCATTTTCACTATAACAATCAAAACAAGCCAGAGAAAGCTACAAAACCATGGTTTTTCTGAACCCATCAGAGTTCAGGAGGATGCCAAGTAACCTAAGTGGAACTAAATTCCAGAAAGTGCCAAGCCATGAAGGAAGAGAGGCCCAAGAATGGTTTCTTTCCTGGTGGAGTGGCTAAGGAGGAAGAATCCCACCTTCGAGGAGGGTAAGGAGAAACCAATCTACTCTTTAATAAATTTTAACAGCAACATGTACACTAACAAGACAAAAATTCCAAGGGTTTCACAGAACAAACCTGTACCATCCAGCCACTCATTCCCACAGGGCTCCGCTGCATGCTTGCCAAATGTAGGGAGACCAGCCTGGAAAGCTGAGAAATGCCTTAAGAAGCCTACGGTCTCCCTCAAATTCAAGTAATCTGTCCTCTGACAAGGAGGAGAAAGAATGGGCAGGACAAGTGTGAGAAATCAACCCAAGAGATCTCAGACATTCAACTGCCAAAGGCTGAGGTGGAACAGGAGAGCCGAGAGAGAAACTTCCACCCAGATACTCTGACACTCAACTACCAAGGCTGGATTAAGGAAGAGCTGCTGCAAGAAACCCCTGGAAGGTGTTACTGCAGAGCGAGATCTCACTCTGCACAGAAGCCAGGGGCAGGTCCAGAGCCAAAAGAACTCCAGAATGACCAAGGGAATGACAACTGGGCTGTCAAGCAGAGAAATCACGTCAGGTCAAGAAAGCTGAAGGCTCAGATGTACAGCACAAAGAGGTAATGGGAATTACACTCAGACAACAAATCTTCTGAAAGCAGAGTCTCAATTTTGCTCTCAAAACACTTGAACTAAATCAATCTAACGTTGCAACAAAAACCATGAACTAGCCCGACAACACAGCTTATTGATTTAACCCCACCATCTACTAAGCTAACACAGGAAATGATGGGCAGTTTTCTTGGAAGTAAATACTATTTGCTTCAATCTGTACAGTTCTTATACAAATATTCAGCATTCAATCAAAAATTACAAGATACAGGGAATAGCAAAACATGGGCAAAAGATGAAATTACGAATATAATCAGATTAGAGAGGGCTCAGATGTCAAAATTATTAAACTGACTAAAATGGCTGGGACAGAAACATTTAAAGGACCTGACGGAAGACAGAGACAACAAGCATGAAGAAATGGAGAATTTCATTATAGACACTGAAGCTAGAAAAAACGATCACAGGGAAATGTTAGAAATGAAAAATACGACATCAGAAATTAAAGATTTCTTTTGATAGATTTAATAACAGACAGTAATGAACAGTGAACTTGAAAACAGGTCAAATTAAAACTCAAATTGAAACACAAAGAGGAAAAGAAAGCATGGGGGAAAAAACTCACCCTGAATATCCAAGAGCAAATGTCTACTGGGTTTAACTGGAGTCCCAGAAGAGGAGGAAAGAGAGATCACAGCAGAAAAAAATATATGAGGAGATACTGGGCAAAAACTTATCAGAAATAATGACAGATATCAACCCACAAAGGGAACAGTCTTAGTCAATGGGCTCAATGCTGAAGACAGAAGTAAAGATAAAAGCTGAGTATCGGCTAGGATGATAGTTAAGAATTTGTGGAAGATCCAGACAGGAGGAACCTACACTCATTCATAAGCTCTTCTCCAAGGCCCCAAAGGAGATCTCTTAAAAAAGACTGGCATGGGGTAAGAGATGGGAGACAGCTCTTCCCCCTTAAGGGCATGTTCTATGAAACAAGAGCTTCAACTAGGAGGGGAGGATCAGCAGAGCCTCCCATACCCAGGGCCCAAGGAAAAGAGTAGGGCAAAAGCTATGGTACTGTTGGGCAGGGCAGAACCTACTTGCCCACCTACCCACACATAAATAAGCCTTTCACCACATAAGTGTAACCACAGTTTACTCTGCTGGAGGAAGGCAGGAGACACAGCCACCACCAGTCTCAGGCAAGGATGCACTGATGCTGAGGAATGAGTAGAAGAAAAAGCTATCTGATCCTGGAACAGGAGCAAGAAAGTGGCTTGGACCCAAGATCCTGCACTAACACAAAGCAAAGATCTGCTCCTCCTAGGTGGAAAAATCTGTAACAAGTATCAGCAAGTCACAATCAGTAACATATATATAAAAAGTAATATATCATGGCCAAGTGGGGCTTATCCCTGGGAGCAAAACTAATATGACATTTAAAAAAATCAAGCACCTCATTTACAGTATAAAGGAGAAAATCCTTATGATTTCTCTTAAACAAGCAGAAAAAAAGAAAGCATTTGACAATGTTAATTTAATACCCATCTATGATTTAAAAGTCTCAGCAAACTGGAAATAGAAAAGAGGAAGTTCTTTACTCTGAAAAAGGACATCTATGAAAAACCTAGAGCTAGCAAACATATGTAATGATGAAACATTAAATCCCCTTCCCTTATAACTGGAAATAAGACAAGGATGTCCACTGTTGCCACTTCTATTTAATAATGCACTGGATGTTCTAACCAGCACAGGAAGGCAAGAAAGAGAAAAAGCAAAGGCATAAAGACTGGAAAGAAAGAGGCACATTCTCTGGTGATATGATGGTCTCCATGGAAAACTGCATGGAATCTGCATGGTGGTAAGGTTGTTGTAATAAAGCTATATTTACTGAGAAAAAGAAACAGAAGTATAATTCTCGAAAAAGAACTTTGGATTCTCAAAAAAGAAAAAGAACTTTGGATTCTCAAAAGACCATTCTCAAAATGGTCTCAACTGAAGATATTTAGGCCCTGGTATAGTTTGCTAGAAAAAAAAGGGGAGGTCACAACCTAATAAATAATCTTACCCATTCCGTCAAAAAGGAAGAACAGATATGAGGTTATAGTCCCCAGCCTCAATTCAGTACTGTTCCAAGGGTCTCCCAGAAGAGGCAATATAGTACGCCAAATTTCATCAATATATTTTGGCCACAGATACACTTCTGAAGAGACATCTCCTGGAGCTCTATCTCACAATGTTGCCCTGGCATTCTTGATAGCCCAGCTGTGCTTTAGACACTAAAAATCTGAAAGGAGCCAATAAGCAGGATTATGTGCCTTTCTTTAGCAATACAGCAGAACTGGTGAGAAAGTGAGGTTCGCTCAGAGCTGGAGATGTGCAGGGTAAGTAAAGAACAAGGGGGAACTTGGGAGTAGCACTGCCAAGCTGTCTACAGTGCAGACTCTGTAATAATGCAAATAAATAAGCACTCTAGTACATAAACTACAACTTGAAAAATAAAGCAAAGACACAAAATTCCATCCCACACATGTAAGAATCCAGCAAAGTCGATGTTTGGGACTACCAGGCAGCAAAAGGTGTAGCTGGCTACCTTGGGCTTCTGCTCAATCCCACTCTGCCACAAAGCATGCTGAAGGGGAGCCAGCTGTAGAAACCTCAGTACCACATGACACTGTCTTACCCGAGCACAGAGAACATGCACATTAATTCAATCTTTAGAAGGGAGAGGTGTCACAAAAGGGACACCAGAGCAGAAGCCTGAAAAGAAGGGAGGGAGGGAAAGACCATCAGGCAGAAAGCTCAGCATGTCTTCTAGAAGGTAACATTTCAGGAGTAAAAAAAAAAAAAAAAAAAAAACCTAGGTATTGCTACCATATGGGGTAAAAGGAAGCAATGTGGTAGGGCCAAAGCTCAGATTACAGAGCTAAAGACAGAAGTCAGAGCAAATGACC